TAATAACAGAAAATAAATTAATATGTTCTTCAGTTTGTCAGTGCTACCCAATGTCTGACTATAAAGCTATATTTGTAATCATTGTTCGCAGTCTTTTTGTAAAGATGAACATGTTGATTGTGTAGTTATCCTGTACAGTCTAAGACAGTGACTGTACATCAGAGTCACCTGTAGAGTCTGAGAAACGTTGCGACCGGGTACCGCCCGCCAGACACTCTGAATGAATGAGACTCGGAGCCCACGCATGTGTAGTTGCAAAAAGCATCCTTTCATACACAGACGGTATAGAGCACTCCTGCTAGTATATTAGAAAACTATATTCTAATATAGAAATTAGAATTTTGAACTACCTTAAATTGTATTTTTATTATATAAAAATATTAAATTGAATTATAGTTTTAAAGGCCAAAGAGCATATATTTTAAAGTTCTGACAGCTTAGTGCATGGACTATTAATACCCATTGTTTTTAGACTTTCTTTGTAGGTTTGTCTTTTGAGTAGATTTAATCACTAGGGAGCCAATAAAGATTGAAAGGAGAAACAAATTAAAATGGAACCTTTCAGTTTTACTATTCACCAACAGTTTCCTAAAGCAGAAATAATCTTAAAATTTCAGAACTTTATCTAAAGTTATGTTTGGAGATTTTCTAAAATTTTTAAGCATAAATGGTTGGATAATGTATTGCTGAATAATGACAGTAGTACTTATTAAAGTACCTTAGGTATGCATTTTTCTTTTATTTTAAAGAAAAAAATTAGAATATATATCAAGTCAGTAAAAACTGCATTTTATGTCTCTTGGAATCTTACCATTTTTGATTGTATGAAAGAAATATTGTAAACATTTCTAGAATTTGATATGAGGCTATAAAAAAAACATAAAAATTTATCTTAAAATAGACTCATTGTATTTCATGTTAAATCCCAGAAGAATTTAATGATAATGAAAGCATTTTAATTTGTGTCCAAGTTAATGCTATAATTTAAGTATAGTACTATACATCCTGCCTTTTATGTTATACTTAGTTATACTTTGCTTAACAGAGCAAACCTTTGTTTTTTATAAATAATGAAAAATTACATTAAAGAAAAATCCCAGGAATTTTAAATTGTTTGATGAGGAAGTATACCTGAAAATGAAATACTGTGCTTTTTAAAATATACCTTTGGGGCAAAAATAAAATATATGGGTAGTCATGACATCAAGATTGTTAATCTTTAACTAGTTATTTTTTATCAAATTTGTTTTTCTAAAATGGAAACTATTTTAATATAATTATGTACATAAGCACACATCTGTCTAAAACATTTGCATGTAAAATAGTATAAACATATAGTTATTAAAGTTCCTTCATTAAATAAAATTAGGATTGTTTTTGTTGGTTCCTTTAAGATTCAAAGTTTGTGTATTTGAAAGGACTCACAAGACCCCACAGAGCATCCTCATATAAATCTTTTATTTAAAGACAAAGGATATCATCATGCAGCAGAAAAACGAGCATAGGCAAGCATAGGGGGCCCAGTGACATCCAGGCACAGCACCCCAGGGTCTCGATTCATACAAAGACATGCTTTGTCTCTAGACTGAACTACCAACATGTGCGCCATGAATCTTGGCTTCAGGAAAGCTCCAAGCAGCAGTTCCCGCTGGGGTCTTTTTCGTCCCCTCTGGTCACACAGTCTGGCCTGGCTGTCTAACCAGATATACCAGGTGAAAACCATCAGTAAAGAAATCCTGATTGGGGATTACCAGAAGAGATTCAGACTTTAAGCAGCACATCATAAATCCCGCTTTTCTGTTTTTGGCCAAGAGTCAAGGCCAGACATTCAGGTATCCCCCAAGCTTCCTCAATCCAGCTGTGGAGTAACTCTATACGACACAGTTTCTGACAACTTAAAATGCAAAAAAAAAAAAAGGGAAGATTATGATGATAGCTTGCATTTGTAAAAACTACAGTAAAGTTTGTTAAGTGCTTTAATATGCACTAACTTACTTGAACTTTATGATAATTTTGTGAGCTATGCAAGAAAATTGTCTTGTCTCTATCTTATAGTTATAATTCTGAGACTCAGAGAGATTGTGATTGGCCCAGTTCACATGGCTTTTATGGTGGTCGATCCAGATCTAGAAGACAAACCTTACATGTTTTTCAATATTTCATGTTAGAGGTGGATATTAACTATTTACTTCTTTTCTAACTATCCTGTGGAACAATGTAGAAATGAATAAGTATATATAAAACTATTCCTTATTTCTACCCAAAAAAATAGGGTGTTTTGTGTGTGTTCTAAGAGACATAATAATTTATTTACTTTCAGAATACTTTTAATGACTTACAAAAACTGGTCTTAGGACCAGTGCCTGAATTCTTTTTTTTAATTATATGGGAGAGAGATTCTGTTTCAAATTAGAGACTCTTTTTCAAATGAGAAAATATATATTTGGAAGAATTAATTATTCACAAAATTATTCTAGGATTCCCACATATGAATATCAAATTGGATAGGTAAGAGCTAAGTAAAATATCAAGATATACCTGTGATTATCTGTCTCATTTCCTTTTGCGTTCTCTTTCATTCATTTATCATACATTTACTTCTCTATGCTAGGTACTGTGCTATCTACTGAGGATTTAGTAATTAACAAAATGTGATCCTTGCCTTTAATGATCTTACATTCTATAGTTTTTTAAATAAATTCCCAATTTTATAAGGGAGTAGATATGTTAGTACTCAGTTATACCTGGAACATAAATTTCACGGGGGAATTGGCATGACCTGAGAGTCTTTGAGGCCAGCCATGCAGAGCTGTGCTGATGGTGTGCCCAAAGAAGTGGGAATCCAGAAATCGTTATTAAATGAGACTTTTTGTAACTAGATAATTTTTTTGTGTGCTGATATGATGCATTATAGAGAATGAATTAAAGAGGAGACCAGCAGTGAAGAGATCAGTTTGGAATCTGTTGGAATAGTCCTGGGAAGTATTGATGGGCCCAAAGATTGGGCATGGGAGTGGAGATGGATTACACAGTTGAGAGAAAATTTAGAGGTAGACTCATTGAGCAAATTAGATAGAAATGAGGAAACCATCTATTATGGAGGTTTGGTCTTGGAAGGTTATATAAACCACTTCCCCGTTGTTGGACATGAGATTGCTGAGACACTCCTGTGGTGAAATGGATTGCATTAGGCCCCATTATTACTTGGTGACAGAACCGGGCTCTGGACTTCAGGGTTCTCCACTGTGTTTCTAACAGAGAACGTTTCTCCTTAATCATGCTATGACATTATCGTTGTCTACAGTTTGCAGTGTAGTTTAATGTACATTATCTCTTCCCACTTTTTCAGCAACCCCATGAGATAGTAGAACAAGCATTATTATCCCCTTTCTTTCCTTTTAAAATATGTAGAACATTCTAACTGGTAGCCTCATTTATTGATTCACATAGTAGATGAGATCCACTCCTGGAATTATTTCTACTCTTAAAATAGATTTTAAATTAATTGGTGTAAGGTAGTTTTTGTTTTTTGTTGATTTTTGTTTTGTCATTTGGTGAATCATTTTGCAAGTAGAAAAAAATCCATTTTATGTCTGATAAGTTCAGATTTTTATAGATTAGATTTATTTAAAGCAAAGCAAAGCATTTTCTTATAATCTTATAATAGTATAATCTTATAAAATATTATTGGGACCATGTTTTGGTAGACAGTATATCCATAGAGAACTCTGTTTAAATACTAATTTCATTACTTATTTGTGAATCCTGAGGCAAGCTGGTAAACCTGTGAACTTCACTTTCTTGACTTCAGTTTGATACAATAATAGTACTTAATTCACAGACTTATTGTGTTGAGATGATGTCTGCAAAGCATTTAGGACAATTACTAGAACCTGATAACTACCTACTATAGTTTAGCTATTATTAGATTTATTTTATTGTGTTTTATGCTAATCAGTAATATAATTATAAATACGGCTAGAGTTAAGGGTAAATAAATTGACATTTATTGTGAATTTTGCATTAATAATTTATGTTCAACAGCTAATATGATTTATAATATATGATATATGACATATGATATATAATATATAATATATAATATATAAATAAATATAAACACATATACATATATTTTATTTATATTATATTTACATTAAAATATATAATATATATATAATATATATTTTATATACAAATTAAATATAATTTATAATATATAAATATGATTTATGATATATGTAAAATAAGATATAAATATGGGCATTTCCTAAAGTAGCTTCCTACCTAAAAAAGTATATTTCTTACATAATCTAAGTGTTCTGTATTCACACTTAGTGCTTAGTTGGTATGATATTAAAAATCTTTTTTTTTTCCTGTTTCATAAAGTCTTCATATTCTAAAACTTTTCTGTGGGGATTTAAGAAATACTGAAACTTATTTGATACTATTAGAACATTCAAGAAATTTATCTTTTTTGTTCTTTGCAACTACAATCTCTGAAGAAAGTAAATATATTGCTTTGAGGTGTGTTTCAATTCATTATGTTCAGTAGTTACATAATACATACTTCTGATGTTTAAGGAATGATCAGAGTGTTGAAGCTTAGGTTCATTTTCATAGAAAGGCCAATCAGCAATTCTTCTCTAACTCTAAAAGTTCAGCAAACTATAGACAGAACTATATTCTTCCTACTGCACTGGTATTCAGTTTTATGCACTGTCATCATGTCTTAACATGATAAAAGGTCTTTTGCATAAAATATATTGAATTTTTGAGTATAAAATATAGTTGATCTAAATAAAATATTCATGACTCTCACTTTGCACCTCCCTCCCATTCATCTGTATTTTTTAATCTTCACCCTCATCCACATGCATTTTATTAATAATAAAGGAATCCTTTTTAGGTACACAAAAGTTAGTACTGAGTTTTACCAAATTTAAATTTCTAATTTGTTTAATTCCTTGTGGTCTTGAAAACTTTACTTCCTATTTTAGGAAAGCCAAGTTAGATCTGAGAGTTGCAGTAGCAAAAGTGGAAGAGTTAACTAAAGTGACTGAAGATTTTCACGAACAGATGAAAAAGAAGGTATTTTCTTATTTGTAAAATAACTAATTGCTTGTTGCTTAGTTTTCTATGTTTTATTGTTGTTCTATTTAAATTAGGAGTTAAAGAGGGTTGCTGGAAAATGAACTAATCATTTACTTACCCTCTCAATATAAAATATGAAGTTAGGAATTTAAATTATAAAATTGGAAATAATTATGTTGTCCAATTTTCAACCAAAACTTACTAGACAGGAAAACATAACTGTTGGCAGTGGGGGACAGTCAAGAGAAATTCAATCTTAGTGAGCCCAGCTGTTGGATTTAGCAGGCAAAGGCAGAAGTTGGGCAGAAAAGATGTTTAAAGAAATAATGGCTGAAAACTTCCAAAATTAGGTGGAAAACATTAGCAGATAGCAGATCCAAGAATCTTGTGAACGCCAAGTAGGACAAACACAAAGAAAATCACTTTTAGATACACCATGACAACACTGACAGCCAATTCTAAAGAGAAATGTGAAAGCAGCCACAGAAAAATGGCATAAACAGGGGAACGGCTAGGAGTAATGGCTGACTTCTCACCAAGAAGCTGGAAACAGAAAACATTGGAATAACATATATGAAGTGCTGAAGGCGAAAAAGTGCTAAGAATTCTGTGTCCAGTGAAACTGTACTTCAAAAATGAAGGCAAAATAAAGGCATTTTCACATAAACAAAAACTGAGAGAAGTTGTCACTCGCAGAGCCGTGCTTCAGAAATGCTGAAGGAAACTCTTTAGGCTGAAAGGAAATGACACCCTATGGCAACTCATACACTAAAAATTAAGAACAACAGAAATTGTAAATATGACATAATATATCTACATATTTTTCTTTTATTAATACTGTAGAAGACTTGACTGCTTTAAAGCAGAACTGAGCACTGTATTTGATGGATTTATAAAGTATGCAGATGTAAGATATGGCAACAGTGGCACTAAAGGCTAGGATTGAATATGGAAATGAATACACTGTTGCAAGGTTCCAGTGTTTTCTCAGAAACTAATTAAATATTAAGTCTAAATAAATTGGGATAAAGATGCATGTTATAATCTCTAGAGCAACCCTAAAAAGTAATTCAAACAGGCATAGCTGAAAGCCAATAGAAAAATTAAAATGGTATAGTAAAACATATTTAAGACACCAGAAAGCAGGAATGGATGAACTGGAAGTTTTTTTTTAAGATGGTACAAATAGGGCCGGCCGAGTGGCGCGATGGTTAAGAACTCGCTTGGGATGCCAGAGGGCCCCGGTTCGGATCCCACATATGAGGGCCAGTGACACTG